GGGGGGGGGGGGGTTCCAGAAAAGCCATTCTATAAATTTAATACACTATATTACTTAATCACCTTGTCATTATTTTGAAAAATATGAATCTTTTATGTCAGGGGTTGTCAAACGGAGGTATATGTACCCCTGGGGTACTCGGAATGGCCCCAGGAGGTACACATGGTGGTGCAAAGAAATGTCGCAGAGTGGCAAATGGTGGCGGCAGCCGCTAGGTGCGAGCTCCCCACCTCCTGCCATTCACCACTCGGTGCAACCACTGCACGCCACTTCCCCGCGCTGCTACCAGCTTCGCATCTGGCTGCCCATCTGCACCCCTCACCCCAGCTCTCCAGCTGGCCATGAGCAGCTCCCCTGGCCCACCTCCTCCCTGTCTACAAGGGGGTACACTCCTTTAAAAAGGTTGAAACCCCTGTTCTATGTCTTTGGTCAGACTACCTTCTTCCACTTATATGCTTAATTTAAATTGGGCACAGTTTAACTTCAGTGGAACTACTCAAGTACTCAAAGTCAATGGAATTCTTTATGGATTTAGAATTGCATACATGCATTGAGATAGGTTTGATCCTGCCTCAGTGCAAAGGGTTGAACTACATGATCCCTTGAAATCCCTTCCAGCCCTACAATTCTATGCTTGTGTTTCAACAACTTGTTGATTTGTGACCTTAGTTATTAGTATATGCGTTTCATTAAGTCCTATGAAACAAAAGTGCCAGTGATGGTATACACATTAGTACTTCAACACCACAGTGAACAGTGATACTGAATTTCCCCCCCATTTTTACTATAGCCCTATAACCCCCTCCATAAAAAATTTAAAAAACCCAAAATTGTATTTATGAGCATTGCAGTTAATCAAAATCTTAGTAACAATGGAACCAAATGCTTCACTTATACCCACCATCTCCATGTGCCATAAGTCATTCCAGTTGTGTACAAGCCTACCTAAAAAACGTAAATCAGCACAAAGTACAGCCAAATGTCTGTAACAGGCTTGCAGCCAAGCTTAACTTTGAACGTACAACCTAGTGACTTCAAGCAAGTACTTGCAATTCCTCATCTGCTTAACGTTAAGCGCGTGTGTTAATGTTTGAAAGATCAGAGCACAGCAACTGAACTTGAGTAAAGTGTATAATGTTTAGGACTGGCTTTGACCACCTTTGCACAAGGAAAAAGTTCTGTTTTACAGGTATAAGCTGGCAAACTCCACATTGGAAACAAATTTATCAGCCAAAAAAGAAACTTTTTAGCTAACAACTTGTAACTGATCCTCAAATAACATAAGCTGAGCCAGAAAGGCACTTTTATACTCATACAGCTGTCATAGCATAAAGACTGTTGTATGAAAGTATCGCAAAATAAATAATCACACCCAACTCAACCTTATTAAATCTGCAAAAAAAAAACCAAAAAAAAAAACTATTATTATATCTGCATGTGTTTCTAGCAAAGAGAAATTGTTCCTAATACTTGTTTGTCGCTAAACCCATTCATAACTGCTCTCTCACCACAGCCAATACTTATCTCTTTAATCCATTACACTCTTCTGAAACATCCTTAGAGCAACACTAGGATTTTTCAGTAAACAAGAAAAGGAAAAACCACAAGTCTGAATAGCTGTTAATTAAACATCAACTGTTTAACTTTCCATTCAGCAATGAATCAATCAAGTTGTGCAAGGAACAAAAAGCAACTTTCAACTATAAAATGTACAGCCCACAGAATAAAGGCTTCTGACTGTGTATGTTCCATACAGGAAGGCAAACAAGAACACTCCACCTGCCTACTAGTTACTATATTTTTTTGGTATTTAGCTACTAGGGACCAGTTTCCTCCTGCAATAAAACTATTTGATAATCATCCAATACATAAATGAAGCTGTACTCAGGTTAGTCACGCATCCTTATTTCCACAGGCGACTGGTAGGGGAGCCAACGGGGGGGTATGTGCCTCCCCTGAGATTTGCCCCTGACATGGCACTGCTCAGGACCGCAAGCCGCAGCCCTGCAGAGCCAGGTGAAGAGGCTGCAGCTCCTCCCGCAGGGCCCGCGGCACCTGTGGTTTGGATCCACCCCCCTGCCCGAGGGTTGGAGGCAGCTCTACGCATGTTCGGGCCGGTGGTCTGCAGTTTGCCAGGCCGTCCGCTTCCGGTTCGCAGTTTCCGGTCCACAATTGTGCCCCGCCCTAGACTCAGGAGGCACCAGTCACCCCTGCTTATTTCTATACATAGAATATTACTTGTGAATAGGTAAGTGTGTACCCTCCGGTTTGAAATGCAGTAAATTGCCAAAAGAGATTCTCACTCTCAAGTGAATAATATTATTGAGGGGTGACAGATGACAGAATGAGGAGCAATGGTCTCAAGTTGCAGCAAGGGAGGTTTAGGTTAGATGCAAGGAAAAACTCTCACTAGGAGGGTGGTGCAGCACTGGAAGGGGTTACCTAGAGAGGTGGTGGAATCTCCATCCTTGGAGGTTAAGGCCTGGCTCAACAAAGCCCTGGCTGGAATGAGATAGCTGGGTACAGTCCTGCTTTGAGCAGGGGGTTGGACTAGATCACTGTTTCTCAAGGAAACACTGATCTGCTCTTTTCAAAGTGGGACACAAAGGTTGTGTAGGTGCAACTTATGCAAAAAAGTGGCATTCCTGAGAGAGGTAGGGGGCCTGCAGGCTTGAGATTCCACAGAAATACAGTTCTTGGAAGAAGTGGGGGTTTGTTTTTATCATGATGAGACCAGGGTTTTCTGACAAAATGGTTGGTGGAATGTAAGGTACAAGAGGTTGAGAACTACTGGACTAGATGACCTCCTGAGGTCCCTTCCAACCCTAATCTTCCATGATCCTATGAATTTAATTCAGTAGTACCTTTCATTAGAGATCAATTTTTAAAAGTATTTTGACTCAACTCATTCTCATAAAAACAGTGTTCAGGAAGAACATATGTGTATGTATTTTATATGTAAGGAACATATAAAATATAGGTGCTATTTTACCCACCACTGAAATGCAGTCGCTTCTAGGAATGAAGCAACTGAAAAGCAAGAGTCCAGTTGCTTAAGAAAGTGAAGAAATCTACTGCATCCACTGCATCCTGC